ACTGTTTTGTTTTTCTTTATCATCATACCCACTGGATTGTTTATTGATAAAATACATTTTTGAGATACAAAAGCTAAAGAGAAGTTCTTAGACTTGTCGCAGAAGTTCCACCTTTAGGTAGGATAGAATCTCAACATATTCTGCTACTTCATAAAAAATAGGTTTTTGTTTGGTTCACTTAGAACATACTGGTAAGTTTTATTTTATTTTATAGCTGCTATTGCATTAGATTAAAGAGGGGGAAAAATGCCATGATTGAGAAATTACAAATAAATGATACTGCTCTAGGAGAAAAAAAAAAAAAAACCAAAAAAAACACCCAACAAAAAAAAAAACACACAAAAAACTGAGTACATATGAAACAGGCAAAAGCATCACAGAGTAATACTGTGAAAATAGAAAAAAAAATCTCAAACTTTTGTCTTCAGAGAGTCAATTACCTTTTTGTTTGTGGCATTTTATTTTTCTTCCTGGTTGCAAAGACAATGACATAATATCTTTTTTGTTATGAAGTTAAGTATGAGAGAAAATGCATATTTAGGAAGAATGTAAGTCACATGATACAGCAGATTTCTAACAGCAGTTAGAAAGGTAGGCCAAATTCAGCCTTATTATGATTCCATAGTCTTCCATAGGCTTAGATCCAGGCAAAACAAAGTTTAAATTTCAAGAAGTGGAGACAGTACCTGTAAGTGGTTCTCAAATTTTGGATAAATGGTGAGCAATAGCTTATTTAAATAATATTTCCTAGGTACTATAATTCTATTTTGTAGTCAATACACATAACTGCCATAAACAGCAATGATGAAGGAACAAATACACTGGAAGAAAGCATTACACAGATTAAAAAAAAATAGTTTTGAAAAGGAAGCTGTAAAGTTTAAAGGAGGGAGTCAAAAGAAAGGAGTTCAGCAAAGATTTTCGTATCAGTTGAACATGCCTGCCTTGGGGAGGAGAGGAGGGTGGAAAGCAACAACCAAAAATTCCCACAAAAAGCACCAAAAAACCCACCAAAGCAAACAGGTGTTTTCCAGCCCTTTGACACAGGTTAAGTAGGAATAAACGGTACTTCATCAAAATACAAAAAGAAAGCCTTCAGACTGAGATCAGCACCCGCCCTCTCAGTGTTTTTGTCACCCCAAAATGAAACTAGCTACTGCACCTTCCCAAAACAAACATAATCATTAACTACCCCAATGTCAAATGAACATTTTTAATTCGGCCTGGAAGATTAATTTTATCCTCCTTTCTTCTTCTGTGTTTGATTTCTACCAAAAAGAATGGCTTGCCCTGGTTTGGAATGGTTCGAGTGTTGCCGAGTCCAACAAGCACATAAACTCTCTTGCAAAGAAGCTCCCCCTCCATTATTTAATGTCATTTTTCTTTTCTAGAGAGGAAAGGCAAAGGGCCCTCAGATTTACTGTGAGCAGTGACGGGGGGAAAAGGAAAAAAATACTAATTGTAGTTACAGTACAGTATAAAGTAAAAAAGAAGAAAAAAAGGCAGAATCCCTTTACAGCTTTCCTTCCATTAGCATAATTTTCCAAGAATGTTAACTACATTCTTTTATCTCTAAAATACTGCGCTGCAACTCGGTTTAAGACAATGCTAAAGCCAAAATTATAAACTACTCATGGATCAAAAGTTTTACATGATACTGGCTATTTTGTACACACAGATTTGAATGTTTCCATTTCTTTGATTTTGCTTCCAAGTACATATTTTTCACAAACAATAGTGAACTGATAATATAGCACTTTAACTTTTTTATTTATTTTTCAGATGCTTAGTGCTGTGCAGTTAGCACTAATTCCTACAGGCTTAACCTTGCAGCATTTTTGGCAGGCGCTTCACCTAACAAGTAAGATGAAGCTAATGATTAAGTAGTAAGACTTTGAAAAACTACAGAAACAGTAGTAATTACCACTGTATAGCCAGCATTGTAACTTGGTGATTACTGCTCCTATTCAACCAATAAAAACAGCCCAAAGCTAAACAGCAAGTAAACAACAGCTGTCACTTAATGACCACAAGGTGCATTTGGTGCTCCCAACATTGCTTCGGGTCCTTAACTACTCCATCAGGCCCAACCAGAGAGGCTTCATGTTAAATACTGTCACCTGACCATCTGTGCTAGCTACTGATTTTAATACTGAAGTTCCTTTTAACATTTTTACTCTGCAGCAAGAGGTGAAGTCCGCAGTAAAAGAGTTACAGTCACTTCAGCACTGCAAACACTGCCCGTATGACTGATAGTTTCTAAGACACATCTGCATATGTTAAACTAGCCTTGAAGGGGGAAAGGGATCATAGAATCATAGAACAGTTAGGGTTTGAAAGGACCTTAGATCACCTGTCATGGGCAGGGACACCTCACACTAAACCACATCACCCAAGGCTCTGTCTAATCTGGCTTTGAACACCATCAGAGATGGAGCATTCACAACCTCCCTGGGCAACCTATTCCAGTGCCTCAGCACCCTCACAGTAAAGAACCTCCTCCTTATATCCAATCTAAGCTTCCCCTGTTTTAAGTTTTAATCCATTACCCCTTGTCCTATCACTATAGTCCCTAATGTACAAGTCCCTCCCCAGCATTCCTATAAGCCCCCTTCAGATACTGGAAGGCTGCTATGAGGTCTCCACGCAGCCTTCTCTTCTGCAGGTTGAACAGCCCCAACTTTCTCAGCCTATCTTTCTATGGGAGGTGCTCCAGTCCCCTGATCATCCTTGTGGTCCTCCTCTGGACTTGTTCCAACAGTTTCATTTGGACTTAAGTAACTGACACATTTGACGCTGTCCCACAGCATTCTCCTGGAGAAATTGGCTGCTTGTGGCCTGGATAGGAGGATTCATTGACAGGTTGGAAACTGGCTGGATGGCCAAGCCCAAAGAGTGACAATAGATGGTATCATATCTAGTTGGTGACCAGTCACAAGTGGTGTCCCTCAGGGTTCAGTGTTAGAGCCAGTGTTGTTTAGTATCTTCACTGATGATCTGGATGAGGGAATTGAGTGCACCCTCAGTAAATCTGCAGGCAACACCATGTTGGGTAGAAGTGTTGATCTGCTGGAAGATACGAAGTCTCTGCAGAGAGATCTGGGCAGGCTGGATTGATGGGCTTTCGCCAATGGTGTGAGTTTCAACACGTAGAAGTGCTGGGTCCTGCACCTGGGCCACAACACCTCCATGCAATGCTCCAGGCTTGGGGAAGAGTGGCTGGATAGCTGCTTGGTGGAAAAGGACCTGGGATGCTTACTGATGGAGCTGAATATCAGCCAGCTTGTGCCCAGGCAGCCAAGAAGGCCAACAGCATCCTGGCCTGTATCAACAACTGTGTGGCCAGCAGGGACAGGGCAGTTATCATCCCCCTGTATTTGTCACTGGTAAATCCGCACCTCAAATCCTGTGTTCAGTTCTGGGCCCCTCACTACAAGAGAGACATTGAGGTGCTGGAGTGGGTTCAGACAAGGGCAATGAAGCTCATGAAGTTTCTGGAGCACAAGTCTGATGAGGAGCAGCTGATGGAACTGGGATTGTTTAATCTGGAGAAGAGAAAATTCAGGGGAACCATACTGGTCTCTATAACTACCTGAAAGGAGTTTGGAGTGAGGTGGGGGTTGGTCTCTTCTCCCAAATAACAATCGATAGGACAAAATGTAATGGCCTCAAGCTGCACCGGGGGGAGGTTTAGATTGGGTATTAGGAAAAATTTCTTCACTGAGAGGGTGAATGCTGTTAATGAGGCCCTCAGTGGCATGGTTTAGGGGTGGTCTTGGCAGTCCTGCAGTAAAGGTTGGCCTTGATGATCCTAAAGGTCTTCTCCAACCTATGATTCTATATAACAACATGTACAGTAGTTTTGATTTTCGTTTTTTTTTTTTAACTGACTACAACTGGTGTTCAACCCGCCCCCCCCCCCCCCCCGTCTGGCAGGTCCATTATTTTAACGAAGTACCTACTCCTTTGTTACATGAACAGCTATAGCTTCTGCTAACAACATGGGAGCTCTGCAGCACTTGACTGCTTATCAGGTAAATGATTTACAGCGTAAAAAGGAAGGAAAAATACAAGACTAGTATGCGGAGCTGAAAAGGGTACTTCCAAACCAACAGTTAACAAAAGCTAAAAAGGATGAAAAAAAAGTCGAAACCAACATAATTGCGCTATTTACTTTTCCTGCCCCTAAGAAACGGGAGATCCACCGGCGCTCTTCACACAGCCTTATACCCGGCAACTACTTCACCAGCCGACCCGGGCATGGTGTTCAGCGACGGTTTGTGGTAGACAGCCACCCTCCAACACCAACGGTGCCCCCTCTCAGGCGGCCGTTGGGAGCGGAGCCCGCCTGACCAACAGCCTCCCCTCGTCCACGACAGCACTGCCCGACACTGGAAACCGGGGATAGAGTGCTAAATAAGTTTCGGGACGAATGACAACGCCCTGCCGTACCCGCCTCCCTCTCACTTTTCTTTTAAGGCAGGGATTATCCATCCCACCTCGGCCAGCCGCCAGGTACCGGAGCCCCCAGCGTCCGCCAGGCAGACGATTTCCCGCCTACCCCCGCGGCGTGGGCTGGCCCCGGCAAGCTGGGGCAGCGACACAGCGGGGCTCCAGCATCTCCTTCACCTCTCCACCAACTACTTCCTCAGGTATCCCCTCCTGACGGAGCACGCTCCCGCCGCTCCCTCCCTTCAGCACACGGGGGCTGTGGAGAGGTGAAGGGGAGCGGAAGAAGCCCAAGCGGCAGCGCAGACTGCCCCACCGCCGTACGGCAAGCACAAAAGCGCAACCCCCGACGCTCGCGCACACACTCACTGCCACAACACTCCCCACACTCGCGCACACCTCCTCCTCCCCAGCCTGAGCCTCTCAGCTGAGTGACAGCTAGCCAAAGCCAATAGAGCCGCTCTTTCTGTGCAGAGGGGCGGGCACTCCCCCTCCAGGTGACCAATGACGATGCTGCTTTCTTAGCCGCGGCGTTAGCGAGGGGAGGTGGTAGGAGGGGGCCGGAGGAGGGGCAGCAGTTTAGGAAGAGGAGGGAATGGCTGTCATCAATGAAGTCATGTTCGTAATCTAGTCCCTCGCTCCGGTTCCGCACTCTGGTGACTCACCGAGGGGGAGAGGAGCGACATCCAGCACGGCGCTCCGCGCGGGCGGAAGGTAAATACAACTTGCAGTTCGGTCCGCCCCCCGCCCCACTCCGTGTCCCTGGCACGGAGGTGTTTGAGCCGTCCTTTATAGTCAGCGAGAACGCCGGCAGCGCCTTGCCCACCTTCTCTCTTCCCCAAGCACAGCCTCGGTGGCCCCGAGCACTGTCGTGCCACCTGCTTCCTCTCCCCACATTCCCCGGCTCCCGGCCCTCCCGAATATTTATATCCCCAAGTGGGTGGAGAGAAGAAAGTTTTGATCCGGTATTTCTGGAATAATCACGATGCAAATCTCCGGGGCGGGCGGGTGTGAGGGGAAGAAACCCAACGCCGTCGCTGGTGGCTGACTTGTGAGTCAGCGGCACCGCGGAAGGGACGGGGGAGCGGCGGGGCACCATGCCCGCCCGTCGGAGCCGCCGTGTTCGCCGTCCAGCTAACGTTTGTCAACGGCGTGGCCAGCGGGCTCGCAGGGCAACAACAGCCAGCTCTTGCCACCCCAGGGTCTTTGCTGCCAAGGGAGCGCGTCAGGAGCTCCAGGCGACGCGACCGGGAGGGAAATTGATCCGGGAAGCGAGACTCCCTATACACCCCCTAGCCAGGACAGCTCGTCGGGCCGGGGGCGGCCTCGCCTGCTGCCCCCCCCCCCCCCCCCCCCCGGGGTGTGGGCCGCCCAGTGGGTGGTTTTCGGCGGTAGCCGCGGGTCGCAGGGTGAAGTTCACAGTGTCCGGAGGCGGGAGAGTGTGTGGCGGTGGAGCTTTTTCTCCGCCTTGGCACACGCTCGCGCAGACCCGGCCGAGGCAGGGGAAGTCGGGAGGCACGAGGAGGGGGGGAGGATAGTGCGTGGGGGAGCGGTCCAGACTGCGAGAGTAGTGGCGTTCCCCGGCAGATCTGGGAGGCCATGATCCGGATAATCTCCGTGCCTGCCTGTCACACGCAGTACACACACCGGAGAGAGAAGAGGAGGTGGGGGCTGGGACTTCGCCCGACAGGCTGCGGCTCCTGTTGCTTAACGTAGTCTCGGTTTTTAACTGGGCAGTCACTCCAGCAGAGTGTCTCGATTTACTTCCCAGAATAGCTTGTGTCGTTCCCCCCAGCTCCTTTTCCCAGCAGAATTCATGCCGCTCCCCCAACACCCCCGCCACCTTACAGCAGTCGGCGAAGCGGAGTAGCACAAAACATGCGAATTTTGTATTCGCCTTCCAAGCAAAAAGCATTTTATTTCCGGTGTGCGCGGAAATTTATTCCCACCCCCTCCCCCCCTTTACCCCCCCCCCCCGCCCCAGTCCGGGTCGGGCGGGAGTGAGGATGCGTGCACACGCGGATGCTCAGGTAGACGCGGTTCGTCTGCCCGGCAGGAGGAGGGGGCGGCAGCAATCGGCACCTGGAAAAGTTCTCTCCACTGCAGGAGGCCGGGGAAGGCTGCGGGTCGCTGCCGCAGCTAGCTCCCGGGCGGGGCAGGAAACAGCGGAGCCAGTCCCCGGGCAGCCGCGGGGAGAGGAGGCGTTGGCAAGCGCCGGTGGTGGCGGGGGGTGGCCTTTCTCGTCCCTCTGCTTGTGCGAGCGGCGGCGGATAAGGAAGTCACCGCCGCCACACATAGGCACACAGACATGTTTGGTCGGCGTGACATGGTGGCGGAGGGAAGGAGCAGCGGGGGGACGGGCCCGGCCCAGCCCTGAGGCATGCCCTGGCCGCTTGCCCGCCTGCCGCCGCTGAGGATCTCCCAACACCCCGCCGTGGAGGTACGGGTCCCTGCGCGGCCCGCGGCCGGGAGCGGCGCAGACATTGCTTCGCGGAGGGGAGGTGGAAAGAGGCAGCTGGGCTGGATGTCAAGGCAGGGACGGCTTAGAAGCTGTCGGCGGAGCGAAAACTTTGCAGAAAGCCGGAGGGGGAGAATTGGGCTGTGCTGACTCTGCGCGCCTGCCCCGACGCCTCTGTGGTGGAGGCGAGGGGTGTGGAGCTGCGGGCGGCCCGGCGCCGAGGCCTGCGCGCCGCCCGGCAGGGCCGGAAAACCCGTGCGGCGCCGCCGAGACAGAGCGCTGCCACTGGGGAGCGGGCGGCCCGGGGCCCTCCTTCGCCCATGCTCCGTGCCGTGCGCGCGGCCCGGCACAGTGCCGCGACTTCCCCTTCTTCCCCCTCTCCGCCGCGGCGGCTTTTCATTATGTCCGTGGTGCGGGGAGAAATGGAGTTGTTTGTCTCCTCCCCCCCGCCCCGCAAATTTATGATGGTGGAACAACAAACTGCACACGGCTGGAAAAGTTAGAGCTCTTGGAAACTAGAACTTAAGTTACAGTTAACTGATTGTTAACGGATTGCGGTGTGGGTTTTTTGGTAGGTGGTTTTTTTCCCCTTTTTCCTCCCTTCTCACTCCCTCTTCCCCTTAAGAGTGCGTCGAGAGCGTGGTTAAATGTCAGCATGACTGCATAGATCACGCCGAAGTTGGTTTTCCTCGGCATCTGCTGCTTATGTTTGATATACAGACTTAACAAGCTTTAGGGTAATGCTGTTCTTTTAAGGTGTCGAATGTTTTAGATAGGTAAGTAAATAACTGAAGTAGTGAAGTTGTCAAGATTATTTTTCTTACCACTTTAAGTGTTCTGCATGCTTTCTGTAAAAAAAAAAAAATATATATATATATCGGATCCATGACATGGCATTGTTCCACTTGCATTCTTTTCTGTTTTGCTTTAGATTTCTTCAGTGTTACTCGGTTTTAACCGCAGCCCCTAAGACCCAGACAATAAACATTGTACCAGATTTTAATTCCTTTAGTAGTATACCAGTTACATGTTCGGGGTGGCCTTTATCTTCTGTGTAAGTTAGTATTGTTGTGCAAATAAAGGCACATTTTCTCTTTGGGAACCTAATTGCTCTGTCACTGTCTTTGACTTTGTTTATATTGTTCTTTTATTATTCTAAGGGGAAAAGTGTACCAGAAGGGTAGGATTGGAGGCAGACTTTCATGTCCGTGTCTATCAGTAGTAGAAGCACAAAGACTATATGCATAATGAGCATTTAAAAGTACATCTAAAGTTATGATACAGCATATGTGGACTTGACAGAGGTGAGAGCAGAGCTTCGTTAAATACAGTATTTCATGAGTTATGTCTCAGCTTTAGGAGTGCTATTTTTGTGGTGTTTCATAGAACATGCGCCAGAAGAGTGTGTTCAGAGCAGTCTTAGATCTTCCCTTTTGTTCATTTCTGAAGTGGCCTGTGATCGTTTCTTGTCAAGTTTGAAAAATGCTTTCACAAACACCTGAGGCTTAAAAATTGTCAAGAGAAAATGTGCTCCAGCTAGCATTCTTACATTAAATATATTCTTGACAAAGGTCTGTGTTAATATCTGCAGTTACTTTTTTGCAATTTTTGTTGGACTTTTGAAGTTAAGGTCAGAATCTGCACGGTAGTGACTCTGAAAAATGTCTGCAGTTTTACTTCCAGTTTTCGTGGGCCTGATCAGTAATATTGCTGTGAACTGGTCACTTTTCAGAAGGAGACTTTTTATTCTTTGTACGACCAAGAACATTTTTGCAAATTACTTACTAAAATGCCCATTATATTTTTTTTTTGCGTTTTCTGCTACAATCGAAATTTCGTATGTTTAAAGAATTTTTCCTGGACCTCCACCTCTTTTGAACTTTATCCGTTTAGTTTTTTATTTGTTTGATCCTCTACTGAAGTACAAACGCAGTGTTATGACGTAAAGATCATTTGTGAAAGTGGCAGCAGTGTTACGACAGCAAGATCACTTGTGAAAAAGGCAGGAGAGAAAAGCTTATGCCTTATTTGCAAGATAAAATAAGGATGAATAAGGGAGAGAAGTAAGGCTTTCTTAAAAAGGAGCCTTGGTAGTTTGCAAACATAGCAGACTAATTCTGAGAATTGTTTTATTTGTTTCAGACACATGTAAAGTCATCAATTCTTAGGCGTGAACATTTGCCTGTTTGCCTCCAGTTGGTAGAGAATGTTTCCCATGTATCACTGCAGTGTTTGAGCACCCAGGTGGATCATTTAGAGCTGGGACCTTTGGAAAAATGCTGAAATTAAGTTTGTTGTTACAGAAATGATACATTTTTAAAATTTTTGCTAGTGTTTTATCACAAGTAACGTGCATTTAAAACAGTCTTCACCCTTTTTTCTCCGTTCCCATTTAAGTGAAGACAAGACCTGGCAGTAGTAATAACGGCAAATTTCTTTCTTCCTGCCTGTGTCTCATTTGGCTTTTGTTTTTTAGAATCTAATGTGAAGATTAGGTTTCGATAACGGTCATTAACACCTGTTGTAAAGGTCATGGTATGGAAAATTAACCAGTTTCTGTAACCAGTCAGTACTGTCATGACTTAGTTTTCTGTGCCTGAAATGTGCAGTGGAATTCACATATATAGCAAACATGGACTTGATCTTGGGCATTGTCTGCAGTTAAATTTCTGATTGCAGCTGTCTGCCCTCCTCTTTTTCTGAAGGCTGTTTCCTTCTGCAGTAAAGCCATCAGAAAGGATCATATGTCTATGCTGTAGTCTCTTCATTGAAAAGTTTGATTGCATAGCTTAGCCTAACTTTGAGAACTGTGACTCGTGGTGACGCCTTTTTACTGTCTGTAGTACTTTCAGCCCCCAGCTGTTAGCCAGTCATTTCTTGTTGCTGATTTTAGTTTTTCATAACAGGGTAGGCTGTAAGTTGGAGTAGTTGAGAAATTGCTTTATGAAAAACTGAAACAGCTACACAGTAGGAGTAAGGATTTCTGCAAGAAAATTTGTAAAGGCTTGAAGGTGGGGAGTATTAGGACTGTCATTCTGAAGTAAACTGCTCTGCATGTGAAAAGGAGCCTCACGCTACATGACTTCACAGTGAGGTTTCTGGAGTAAGCACACCACTCGTTCTGCTAGTTCTGCTGGTGTGCATGCAGGCAGTCTTCGGTAGATAGCTAGACAAGCATCTAAAGTGATGTCCAGGGGTTTTTGTCTCTGGCCTAAATGTCTGGATAAGCAATTTAGGTGCAGCATTTCTGATCCTGTGGTTTTGTAGTTTAAACTGCAAATTCCCTTCAGGTTTTGAAGTTACAGTAAAGTTACACACATGATTATGCAAAGACAGAGTCTTTCAGTGTGTTTGGCTTCTCTGTGTGAACTGAGTAACTGGTTTATATTAGTTTAAGATTTTACTCTTTTTTTTTTTTGTTATTGTTTCATGTAAACCTAGTTATTGATTGAATCATTGATGAAATGACAATAGTTAAATCCTGATAAATATTAATGCAGTGTCTTCTTTGGGGTTGTACAATATGAAACACTTGATTTGCTTCTAAGTGTTCTAAGTTATTTAATTATGATGAGCTGTCATACTGTTATTATTAATCACTTCTTAAACTTTAAACATCTTAATTTGATGTTGTCTAGCAGATTAAGAAAATACTACTAAGAAAATCACTGACAGTATTGTTTCACGTTTTCTGTGGTAGTGTAATAAAGATAACTCCTTTGGCCTGCAGTGTATCACAGTTTCACAGTATAGCTTTTCAAAGCCACCACGACTTCAACTGGAGATGTGTGGGGGACGTAGACTATTTTTCTGTGAAGGCAAAGTTACAGTCAGCTTTGCAGGGTGTATGTGGCTGTTGCGTGGGTCCGTGCTTCCTTTCTGTCTTATCTAAGTGGTGCAGTTTGCTTACTTTCCACTACCTATCCAACGCAGGGTATCTGGCCAGAGCATCCTGGCCGAAGTTCAATTTAGGTTGACTTAGTCATAGAAAGGCAGGAGTTATATTGGATGGTAAAAGGAAACAGCCAGGAGAATTATAAATACTTCCTGCTCTGTGTGCCCTGTTTCAAAATAGTCTATAATCTCTGGATCTTTTTGGGTGACCAGCTGGTCTTGACTGCCAAAGCAATGCAGGTGGTTTGTTGCTTGCTGCGTTCTTGTTTTGGATCTACTAATATTGCACACTTTCTTCATGTGAAGGAAATCTGTGCCTTTGTTACCTTTGGGTTTATAGCAGGTTTATACCAAGGTATATATCATGTCCTGTGCATCCTGAAATATTAAGCCAATGGAGACCCACTGTATGTATTGTATTGTATTGTACTGACCCATTGTATTGTATGGTGAATTAGCTACATCTGCAAAACCTTCTAGGTGCATATAAAGTGATAGTGCAGCAGCATTTATGTTTAGGGAATACTCCCTCAAATTCTTTGTAATGTAGACATTCATTGTCCTAAGCTGTTTGATCTAGAAATAGTTGAGCGGAGTCACTCTCTTCAGCTTCAGCTCTTGGGTTTGTGGCTCTTCTTGTATTTTCATCTGCCTAAAGTTACTTTAGCAATGATAGGTTATTATTTTTCCCCTCTCTGCCTCAATTCTGGTGTGTCCAGCAGAGGTGGAGAAATTCTCTGAGACCATAGGAAGAACTGCATGATTCACCACAACTAATTCAATCCCCAGTAGTTCCATTTGGGGTTGTTTACAAAAGAGATTGGTGATCTTGGTATAAATAAACCTAAGAAGGGATTGCAGTTCAAGAAGAGATATGTCTTATCTCAAGTCGTGTATAAGGGTTTTGAGGAAATTTTAAGATTGGACACTTGAGAAACAATTAGATAGTATGTAATGCATTTGAGAATCAGGGCCAGCAGCGTTATCATCCTTACCATTCGGGACAATCAAATGGAAATTTCTATTTATTGAAGTTTTTGTAATCTGTTAAAAGAATTTACTTTTTTTTTTCCCCCTCCCTCACCTTCCCCTTGTAATTCAGACAGGCACTACTCATTAAAAAGCAGTTCAAACAAATGGGTCAAGACTGGCTGTGGGGGAGTTCGCTTCATTTTGTTTATTTCATTGCAGGCACCGGAACGTACCCAAACTAATACCATTGTTATCTGAATTTAGCCTGGCAACAGTTGTACCTGTTGTCTCTTTGCAGATTTTTTGCTTTGATTTTAATGAGACTTTCATAAGGACCTAGAGGAATTAGATACCTAGCTCTTACTGAATTTTAGTTAGAGTGGGGTGCCTAACTTTTGTGGGCTTTTTTTAATACAATCTTCAGTCTGAGTAAATATAAACTAAATTATTTTTGAAATATGTTATATCATAGGCATTTTATCAGTTCTATGAACAGATCCTTAGTTGGGAGAGCCACGCATAATGTGTTCTGGTGTATGGCAGTGCTTGTTTTTTTTAAATTTTGTGGGCTGTTTTGCCAGAGAAAACTGCTTTGTATCTTTATGTCCATGGGTATCTTTGGATAGGATATATTGCTTGCATTCAGGTAGAATTTCAACAAATGTTATTTTCCGCTGATACAGATCTTACAAATTACTTCCTCCTCTCTCCCCCCCGAAGTGTGTTCTTTGATATAAAAAATCTCAAAATACAAATCTGTTTAAGAAAATTCACAATTCTGTAGGACTGGGTGAATTTATCTTCTCTTAAATAAAGACAATGAAGGGACTTGATCTGGTGTAGGGGGTGCAACATTTCCCTCTTTGAAATTACTGTTTTTCAAAGATTGGACGCTTTCTAGCCCATTGAAAAGAATTTCAATTTTTCCAAATTTGTGTGTAGGACATAATGTATATGTAAATGACAGTGTAATTAGTGGAGCTGAGACTGGAGCCGGTTAATTTTTATGAGAACAGCAAGTTGAACTCAAAAGCGGTGAATAGAGGGGATTTTAATACCAATATGCTCCAGTAGTTTTGTAGTTGATTGTGTTGCAGTTCTGTATAAATTTTTCTGGAGAGTAGTGGTGATGCTAGGTCCTGCATTGTTAAATGGACTGAGCTTGGCTTATAATGTGCAGAAAGAATCAGCTTAGGGTGAGTCTTGTCTTTCACAATGTAATTGGCTCACAGAGATGCCTGTTGTCCTTCAGCCAAACTGTATGCTTCCCATAGGAAGCTGTGGCATAGTATGTGCAATTGTGAACATTTGGTAACTTAATTCCTGTGGCAGTAATGTCATGGGACTGTAGGGGACCAATTGGTGACTAGACTTTGTTTTGAACAGAGAAGTTTCACAGCCATCTCCCTGTTTTACCTTGCGAAGAAACAGGATCTCAAGGCGGCTTATTTCAGGTGAGGGTATTTTAGTTTAAATGAGTTAAGCATTATTCTGATTTGTTGCCTGTAATCAGAAGAGACCAGTAGCTATTCAAACATAAGAAAAGGAAATTTATAAGCAAAAGCTACTAAGATGGTTTTGATCCTGACAGAACAATTAGGTAATGAGGGGCAAATAAGTGAAAATGGTCTTGATGTAGTAGCATTTAATCTTCTGTTTGAGTTGTGATAAGTAAAGGCTCTTGCTTGTAAAAGAAGAAAGATGATTGATTCTGTAATCTTGGGATTCCCTTACTGCTAGCAGTAAGCATCAACCTACTTTTTTTCTTACATGTCCTGCAAATCAGCCTCATTTTGTTTTGCTTGGAACCTTGGGAGGATGCTTAAATTTTTTTTTCAGTGTCTGTTTCTTAATTTGGGCACAAGCCAGGGTGTTTGCAGTGTTAGCAGTGTGGCTTTATATAAGCAGTGTCATAACAGGGTTACACCACTTAAGTTAGAAAGTAATTGCTGCTCACTGTGGATAGTGATAAACTCAGATATGGAAGGTGGAACACTACTGTGGTAAATTCTGCAAGGAGAAAGGCTAGGACAGGGAGTCATCTTAGGGCCTTCTAATGTACCACTTCATTGTAATTACCTTGTACCAAATTAGAATGGTCTTTAATAAGACTCATTTTTCATTGTATTGGCTTTATTGCTGTGGAACATGTAATCATGGACAGGTAGGCTTACTATAAAACTCCACCCAAAGTAAACAAAGGGAACACAGTAAGCCCATCTAACGGTCAGCTGCTGTTGAAAGTGATGATTCCACTTGCATCCTTGTGTTGTCACTAGGAATCAAGTCAGTTGTTGTTTTTTTTTTTTCTGTAGTTTTTTGTTGGTGTTTTTTGAGGGGGATGGGTGAGTCATGGTTTGTTTTTTTTTTTTTAAATATGTGGTATTTTTTCTCTTGGAAATGGTGCTCTTGGGAGTGGGGAATACCAAGAAATATGACTGATCTTTTTGGCAGCAACCGACAATCTTAATTTTGTAAAAAATATGGCAGCTGCATCACTGTGTTACAGTACTCTGACATCAGTAAACAGTTTTTGGTATTAAACATTTATAAAAGTTCTCAGATATCTGAAGAAGAATGATAAAAGTTCTCAGAAAACTGGAGAATATTTCAAGCATGTATGTAGCTCACATCGGTTTGTTCTACTAATAACACAAAAATAAAACCACAGTAGTAGAAAGTTTTCCAGCCTAGGTAAAAGCCTGTCATTTGTTCTCAGGGCAGTCAGTGTTCTGTAAGCCTCTTGAGCTGCACTCTTCTGGTTTGTGACATTGACAGAACCCTCAATTGAATTACAGCTCTTCAGTCCAACGTAATTGTCTTTTTTGTTGTCCATTTGATATTATGATTTCATAAGAGGTAACCAGAGGGGTCCTACATTAGTATCTAACTTGAAAAGAAGTCAGAAAATAGTCTTAATAATCCCTTTCATACTAGTTTTGCAGCATTATCATGTATCTTAGAAGTATGAATTTCAGTGCAGTCGCTCCTGTTGAATACACATTGCAGAGGTGCCCAGCTGTTTTACCTGCCTTACTGTAACCCCACCTAACACATCTGATGGTAGAAAGTCAGCTGAACTACCATGGTCTCTGCAGGTATTTCTAATAACATACCAGTTGCTCTGTTCTGTGAATTACATACAGATATCCAGAAACTGACTGAATTACCAGGATCCTTCCTAATCCTTATCCTTCTAGTGAGCTTTTAGAATGGTGGTTGAACTAATGTGCAACATTAGGATCATTTAAGCATTTTCTGTTGGTGACAGCATGTATGTGTGTCTCTGTATGTAATGATTGCCAGTGTATTTTTTCAGTGTCCCTAATGTCATAGAAATTCTGGTTTTGTTTTTGTTTTGTTTTTGTTATTAGAGCTGTTCTGCTAATTGAAAAGGAGACAGAAAATAGATGTCCACACCTACAGACCCTGGCGCCATGCCTCATCCTGGTCCTTCCCCTGGACCAGGACCTTCACCTGGACCAATTCTAGGACCCAGCCCAGGACCAGGGCCATCTCCTGGCTCAGTTCACAGCATGATGGGGCCAAGTCCTGGTCCACCCAGTGTCCCGCATCCAATGCCATCAATGGGGCCTACTGATTATCCACAGGAAGGCATGCCCCAAATGCATAAGGTAATAGTTTATTATAAGTGACCTTTTCTTCCTCAAGTTCTCTGTGCTGATTAAAAAAAATACACTGCATTTAGAACTGCATAACTGCTATTAGACATTGTGTATCATCTGCAAAACTGCAGCTACACTCTTACTACTTTTATTAAAGATGATGCACTTATGAGATGAAATACAGTTTCCTTTTTCTTAGTAGACTACTTTGAAGTGTAGTTAGTAGTTTGCAAATCTTCATTTGTAAACTGTACTACTCATTAAGGTAGACATTTCTAGGGGGAAAAACCCACTGAATTATTATTTTTAATCCCTGTGATAGACCATTCTAACAGTTTTTTATTTTTTTCCTTCTTGTCTGTTTGGATGTGTCTTGTGTTTTTCAGGGGTTGTTTTTAGTTTTGCATGAAATTTTTCTGTTTTTTTCTAATTAGTAATTTTAGCTCTTAAAGGGCTTGTGCTTCAAAATTTGTTTACTCTTCCATGTTGAGGAAAAACCTGGTTTCCAAGTTATTTTATAAAGGCTTCATCTTACTGAGGAATTTAAAACTGCATAGTGTAGCACATGTGGCTAATTGGACATCAGTGGTTGTTGGCATACATTTAAAATTACGTATGTGTTTAGACTATCATTAATACTTTTTGCTTTGAGGAGATACTTGTGGGGAATTTTCTTTGTGAGAAAAGTCTCTATGTATTGTCATTTTTATTTGGTTTAGATTTAGAGGTTAGGATAATTTCAATTTCACTGGTGTTCTACTCTCAGAAATATGCAGTAACAGCTTACAGGGCCAAGATACTGAAAACATTTTGATAACTGTTGTTGATTCCACTTGGAATTGTTATATGTGTGGGGAAAAAAAATTACAATAAAAAAATAATATAAACATATTTTAATTTTCCTCTTAAGTTGGCAACTTCTTGATGTTGCTATCCACACATGGATCCTTTTCATTCATTAAAACAGTTAAAAAAAATTGCAATTGTCATTTCCTTGTTTGTCGGGTTGGAAGGTTAGAACCCAAGCTTCCAATACTCCAATGAGTGCCCCAAACTTTGTAGACAGCCAGGGTTTTTACATCCTTTAGTTCTGTCCTTTCTTTGTATTTTTAAAAGCTGCTGTATCTGCAGAAGAAGAGGGTGGCACCAGGAACTTTAGAACAGTTGAATGCTCTATACCGTACATTTTTAACTCCTGTATTGTTTCACTTTGTGTGTTCTTCAAACACTTAATGTTACATTAGCTTTAGAAACAAACCAACAAATATAATCCCATGAAGTTCTTTCAGAGACTTTAGGAGTGTCTCAGGAGTTCTGTGAGCCAGAGTAGAAGCTCTCCCTTTGAGGTGGCACTGAACTGCTTTAAAAAATGCGCCATGAATGTGAAAAGTCTGGACAGGTAATTCAAACGTGACCAGTCAGTATAGTTATAGTAAAATTACTTTCCATTTTCTGTATCCTGATAATGGAACAAGGCTGTAATTTCACAAGTCTTTATTTTAGTAGCAGCAGCCTTTTGTCCTCTAGGTTGCCACTTCACAAGTTCCAGCATGTCTTTGTGTGTGTGTGCGACTAAGGTAGAAAATGTGTCTGCTGAGCTGATCCAGGTTGGAAAAAAAAAAAAAAAAAGTCATGGTTAATTTTTCAGTCTAGATCAGTTTTCTAGTCTGTTTTCCTGTGCAACCCCAGAAGCAGTGTACTGTGACATCTGAGGGAAGGGTCTCTTTAAGAAATGCCATGGAAGGGTGCCTCTAGACTATTGTGCAAATACTACTTGGGTGTTGTTTCATGTAATCAAAAAAACTGGTCAGGCACCTGCAGTTTGACTGAGTAAATGTTTTTTTCCTGCTTAGTGTTGTGTAAAGCAGTTGGGCTTTGAAGTTGTGATAGAACGTAATGCATTTTTTTTTTTCCTAATGAAATGCAGTAGAAGTGAGAGATTGCACAGTGTCCTAGTTACGCAGTTGCTTTTGGGGTACACATATTTCATATGCAGTGGGATGTGGTTCTTCTAAAATTCACAAACTAAGTAGGGAAACACCTTAATTCTATGTTAGATGTTTGGCTTACAAAGAATAATATAGTGCATGAAACTAAAAAAAAAAAACAACCAACCCACAAAGTATGCAACAGTAGGGAAAACACTGATTGATACAAATTGACATTAATAAATAATAATTCCTAAAGTATGTTTACTTAAAAACAGTTAGTATGAAAATTTAAGACTGTATATTCATTTAATAACCAGAGAAGCCTTCCACGGGAAAATCTGCTGTTGATTTCTGTAACAGTTTTGACAGAAACAGCAAATCAGCTATCTCTTGAAATTTCTTTAAGTAATCTTTAGATGATTGAATTGCGGGGAAATACAAATTGTTCCAAAGTATGTCTTGGGTGCAAGGTAGCTATATTTAAGGGAAATACTGAGAAGTCTATTGAGGGGAAGACCATACTAAACGGACAAACTGTAATAGCCTCAGAGAGTCTTGTAAGGTGAAAATACTTCAAAGCTGGGAAGATACTAAAGGAAGGCATTGTTAAACGGTTGCCTTAATCTTACTTCTCCTTGGCATCCACATATGAGCTCCTCTGGAGGCAGAATATTAGGGAAAGATGGTTTGAGTATGAACTGATACAGCCTTCTGTATGCTCTTGTGCGCAGTCTGAGATACGTGATTTTAACTGCTTAACTTTTAGTTACGACGACAGTATATCTATTTAATTTGCAGGGTCCTCACTTGAGGAATAGGAAGAGTACTGTTAGCTCTTGGTTTGTTTTCTCTTCCATTTAATTTTAACCTGAAGCTTAATCACTTCTCAGTTTGTAATAGGGTGTTCTGTAAATGGTTACTGGCTGTGGAAAAATTACCATGATGTCATGGGCAATATTACTGGCTTTGGTGAATTAGAGAAAAACTGTATGATATAAAGAAATTATCTTCCTACAAAAATGGTATTTTTTTACTAAACATATTATTTGTTTACTCAACTATTCCATTAAAACAGAAGGCAAATGGTTTCAAGATTTCAGATATTGTTGGTTAACATACCTGTGCACATTAGACATTCTGGAAACCTTAAAATTCTGTCATGGTCCTGGAAGTAACTCCTTTTTATTCAGCAGCAGGTTCCCTGTATTTTTTTTTTTGAATGTGTTTACATTAGTGAAAAAAGAAAGAAAATAGTATTGTCAGCCTGGAAAAATCAGTGGAGTTCTCATGTGAAATGGTGTTTTCGTGATTTAAAGGAGAATAACGAAATTGTTTGGCAAGTCCCTGCTGCAAGAACAACCATGGTTGGTGTGGCTGTCCACCAGTAATGCATTCAGCTGTTCTGTGCAGTTATGTGACAACACACTGCTCTTTGGTCTGTGTAATTTTTGCTGCTTTAGAGGATGCATAGTCTAAAACAAATGAAGTCTAATGTTTGATCTTGGTCTCTGATTTCAAGGCTGGTGCTTTGTTTGTTTGTTTGTTTATTTGTTTCAAGAAGGTGAAGGAAGCAGAAAAAGATACCATAATCTGGCAGTTTACCTGGAAATAGGTCAAACTGTGATGCAGTGCTGTCTGTCAGAAGACCTTAGTTACTGAATTCAGAGTAAAAGCAGCGTAGGCAAAGTGTTCCTTATGCGTTAGGCATTATGTAAAGTCTGTAAGTCTGCCAAGTCTGTAGGTGTGGGCTTGCATACAGTTGCTCATCCTTCATTATGTTTTTTGTAAGCGCTCTTTATGTATCTGGCCTGTTTTGTACTTGTTCCTGCTCATGAGTTCCAATGAAAATAGTAATGCATACTCAGAGTTGAATATGTGAACTTCCTGTTTCTGTCATATAATAATAATAAAAAAAGTACCTCAGTTTGATAGTAGTGCTTTATTGGTAGTATGTATTACATTTTGCAAACCAACAATGTTGTTGGGAAAGGTATCTCTAATAATTTATACAGGACTGAACAATTTACAGGAATTGCATTGTGTCTGAGATCCTTTCTGTAGTTTTTAACCCGTTACATAAAGTTATTGTTAACTCTAACTACGCAGTGATTCAAAGAAGTTATGAAAAATAATTGGTTTTCAGTTCTTGTAGTCCTTTGCTGAATTGTGTTTTATAGGGTTTTTCCATAGGCAGTTGAGGTATTTCTAGATCAAAAATACTCTTGGAAACACAAGTCTTTGCATAAATTAGCAGTACTGTGATCATTAAAACTAATTTTGTCTTCAAAAAAGTTTATGCCACCTTCATCTTTTGTAGCTTTTCTAGTAAAAACCAACCTGATTGTGTTCTGCCTTTCCTAATCTGTTCCAGATAAGTTTAACTTCATCTTTTTCACAGCATAATATCTGCAAACAAAGAGAAGCAAACTGCCTTCTTGATATGTTTAGGCTCCCTTCCATTTAACTTGAAGCATTACAGTTTGCTGCAGGGTTTTTGTGTGTGTGTTTGTGTGGTTTATTTGTTGGTTTTGGTTGATTTTTGCTTGCTTTTTTTAGAATACTTCTCTTACAAAAACCCATTCTTCTGATAAGTTCCATAGAAACATTTATTCAGTTGATGCTTTCTTGTATGTCTTTACTTTCCTGTTCCTGTTCGATTTTGAAATTTCTCTTTAAAAGACCACATACTTGTTGTTTTCCTCTTCACTGCTGCTTGTTGTTAATGCCAGCTCCTTTTTCCACCTTCTGTGTGCTGGTACTTCTGATGCCCTAGGTGTGCATGCCTTGTCTTTTTTAGTCCCATTGGAGCTGTCTGTATTCACGGATGTTGCACAGTTGCCACCCATTAGTGCAGTGACACTTATCCCTGCAGTCACACCACAGATGTGTACAGGTACAGTCCTCTGTTCTGGAAATCAGATCCAATTTCCTGCACAGTATGTTCCTCCTTTTGGTGGCCCTAAATACTGTCCTTGACACATAACCATGATAAAATAGGAACGCAGCTGGCTTTACAGGTGTTTCTGTAGTTTTCAGCTCCTGCAGGTAGAATGTGAACTGGGTGTTCTCTTCCACATTGATTATCTTTCTAAGTAGTGGCAAAGGGAGAGAAAGGTATCTTCATGCCTCAGAAAAAGACAATGGGATTTATTTGGTTAATACAGATGAACTATTTTTGATGGGTCAGTCATCTATCTCTACATTTCTACTCCATATCCCAAGTTCTTGTAATCACAAATAGCTTCTGTAGTAATAAGAAGTATTTTTCTGATACAAGTTCTTTTCACAAATGTTATTATACCTTCATGACAACTAAACAATTCGATTAAACATAAAAAAATCCATATTAATTCTTCTTTTCTATATGTTCTTCCTTTCAACCCATAGTTTCTGATAAGAAAAAATGATAGTGAAATCCTTTAAAATTCTAATAAACACCCCCCCCCACACACACCACGTGCCTAAAGATACTTCAGTAAGATTTGATTTTTTTTTTTTTTTCCACTATGGTAAGTGGAAATTTTTTATCAAGGAGGTATAATTTAAAATTTAGGGTAATGTTTTCCTTTGTAGAAATGATGACCTGTGTTTACTTCTGCTTAAATTGATCCATGTGCCCAGTTGCTCAAAATGAAGTAATGTGACAGTATCTTTTTTGTGTGACTTGATGTAGCTTCTCGCGCGCTGTTATTAACTGTATGTGTTTCCGGTGGGGAAAGTTTTCTTAATTCTTTTTTTAAAAAGAATTCTCAGTAAATAGGTGTGCATTTAGATAAAACAGATTGCAAGCTCGCCATTCACAATAGGGTTTGCAAAAACATTTAGTATGTATGACATGTTACAGAGAGGGATAGAGTTGCATACTTTTGTAAAGAGAAGATAAGGAAGTGATGCCAGCCTGTCTTAATACAAAGCCTTGCAGAGCACCAAGTTAATGAGCATAATCTCTTTCTTAGTTAAGGACCTGATGTAATTTTTACTTTCAGGAAAAAACTTCTTAGTTTTCATAAGACATCATCTTTCTAATGTTACTTTTCCCCTATTTTCACTTTCAGAGCCCTTTAGTTTCTATTTTGGAAACTTTTCCAGTGTCCTGCATGCCTTCAGCATGTTTTTGTGACGCCAGGCTGTCTTTGCTGCACTCTCTGAAAAAGGCACTTGGCCCTGTTTTGTGTTTCAAGTACTATGGGAACTGTAGTTTTTGAAGAGTGAAATAGATGACAGGAACTTTAGGGAGCACAAGTACTTGATTAGAACTATGTCTTCCCTCCCTTGACGGCCTGTCCCTGTTTTTGCCTGCAAAGAAGTGGCTACCTCCTGCAATGTCATCTTTGTTTTTGAACAGAAAATGGGGCATTCCAGTAGAGCAGTGACTGAAAGGGCAAAGTTTGGACTAAAAATAACTTGAGCCAGGCCACAGGCTGTACTTTCGTAAGTTGGTGTGTGTTACACTGCTTTGTAATATGAGGCTGATAGGATTCATATGTTTGTATTTGGACAGTTTGCTTCCTTGGGTTTGCCGAACAGTTCATAAGGAAAAGAAACAAAAACCAAACCAAAAAGGCAACAGAAGGGACAGGCAGTCTAATGGTGCTCTGTGCTTCCACATATGTCTGATTAGAGGGGTAAACATTCCCAGTATATGTGTTTTGAATGACTACCAGGAGAAGTTTGTAGTCTATTTATTTGTTTAGATTTTAAGTTAAAGTCCTTTGGAGTTTTATAGTGGATTTATATACTATCTCCATATAAATGCCTATTTTGTTTTCACAGTCTATTGATGGCTTGCATGAAAAAGGGATGGTTGAAGATGTTCATTGTGGCTCCATGAAGAGTATGCGACCTCCCCACCCTGGAATGGGCCCACCTCAGAGTCCAATGGACCAGCATAGTCAAGGTTTATACATACTGTGCATGTTATATGGTTTGGGGCCCCTTTGTTCCACAAAGAATCAGTAGTTCCATGTAACAGATTTCCAGTTACTTCATTTCAGCTTTCTTTGGAAAGGCTGAAATGATAGCACAAGGCAAGGTGAATAGCTGAATCCCCTTACTTTCTGGAATACCCATCAGTCATGTAGCAAAACAAAGCTGTGGTTCAGGTCTGTGGCTGGGGCAAGTAGTTGGGCTAAGTCCATTACAGATTCCAGTTCAAATCTCTAAACTCCCCCCACTTAATTCTTCCCTATCTTATGTGACTACAGTAAATACAAATGCATTAAAATATAATTTATTTTAATCCTATGGTGAAGGAGCAGTAAGAGAGAACCACCCAAGCAATATCATTAGTATCTGTAAGGTTTGGTCAAGAGCTGACCAAAGTTCTTTCTCAATTTTTTTATGCTAGAAAATATAAACCATTTTTACCACATTGCTGTATGCCTTCTTTGTGTCATTTAGCTTGTACCATAAGAGCTTGCATTCTGTAAGCAGCTCAATATGTTGAGCATTTAACTGGTATTAGTTAGTTTAGCAGACAAAGCTTTATATATTGCATAATTTATTATTTTACAACAACACCTGAGGAATCCAACTGAAATTAGCTTGCTATACCTCTATGTCGCCTTTTTTTCTTCTTATACAACTATCTTTTTGCAAAAAAATGGTGATGGCACTTGAAGATATTCTGACACGTGTTGTGCAAAGTCCCATCTGCTAACTTTGTATTTTTTCCCCATTAGTGTACAGATCTAAGGCAGAAAAACAGGTTTCTTCATAGCCTTTGAACTTGTTGGATACTTTCAGTCTGATTTACCATGAGATTGGAGTCCTGTAAGTCCTGTTTCTAGGATTTTTGTGGAAACTGGCAATGTAAAGGAGAGTGAGCTTATTCATGCCCACACTCATAGGGTGAGAACAGTGTGAGTTGTCTGAGAATCCATGGAAAGATCATGGTAAATCTTCTAATCCTGACAAAATTTTCAGTTTTGTTTGGTACAGTATTAGAAACCAAGACTTACTCAAAGGTTCACTGCCATGTAGATTCTTGGATGTCCGATAGTTGAGCTTATGTTGCAGGTGTATACAATTTTTAACAATACGCATGTCAAATAGAAATTGCACCTCATTAGTTCTAGGTCTATTTTTCATATGACTTACTGTTGTGGGCCTCAAATTGAAGTGGGTAAATCTACGCATTAATTAGTTAATCCTGTTATTTTTGGATGTTTGGTGAAAGGTAGCTGAAGAAGTTCACAACCCCAGGGAATGGATGACCCTGAATTTCTGCCACTAATTTGGAAGCATAAGCAGAATGGTTTGAGTTGAAAGGGACCTTTAAAAGTCATGTAGTCCAACACTCCTACAGTGAGCAGGGTCATCATCAATTAGATCGGTTGCTCAGAGGCCTGTCCAGCCTGACCTTGAATATTTCCAGGGATAGGGTATTTACCACCTCCCTGGGCAACCTTTTCCAGTGTTTCACCACACCCATTGTAAAAAATTTCTTTGGTTATATCTAGTCTGAATCTACCTTCCTTCACCACACCCATTGTAAAAAATTTCTTTGGTTATATCTAGTCTGAATCTACCTTCCTTTAGTTTAAAACCAGTACCTCTTGTCCTCTTGCTATATTAAAATGTCTGTTCCCATCTTCCATGCAGCCCCCTGTGGGTATTTGAAGGTTGCTATAAGGTCTCCACAGAGCCATTTCTTCACCAGACTGAACAATCCCAGCTGTCTCAGTCTTTCCTCCTAGGTGATGTATTCCATCCCTATGGTGATCATTCTTGTGACCCTCCTCTGGACTTCTCCAACAGGACCTTCTTGTGTTGGGGATCCCAGAGGTGGATGCAGTACTGTGGGTGGGTCTAGAGAGCGGAGTAAAGTGGGAGAATCACCTTCTTTGACCTGCTGGTCATGCTCCTTTTGATGCAGCCCAGCATATGGCTGGATTCTGGGCTGCAGGTGCACACTGCCAGCTCATGCCAGCTGATCTACCAGTACCCCAAGTCTTCTGCACAGGGCTGCTCTGAATCCTTTCATCCCTCTGCCTGTGCTGGTTCTGGGGATTGCTCCAACCTCATGAGGTTCACATAGGCGCACTTAAGCTTTTCCAGGTCCCTCTGAATGGCATAAAGTCAGACTTGTCGAACAAATTTACTACTCTTCCGTGGAGATCATAAGCTAAATTCATTTACGAAGTGAAAACAGTTGTTGTACTGTACTCTAGTTCAATACAGTATTTGTACAGTTGTCAGGAAAATGGATTCTGGCCCAGGTATGGGGTTTCTCTGTGCATCATTAAAGCTAGTAGTAGTAGTGATAGAAAGAACTTTGTCTTATAGGCTTACAAAAGTTGCGGGGTTTGTTACTGAGTGACATTCAGTAACAGAAAGATAGCACTAAGTAAAATTAATGTGACCTATATTAAATATGTTAAGCTAGTTAAATAAAACTAAGTGTAAATAGAAGATAATAATCCAACTGTTGATATTTATAGTTAGTCTTACAGGTTGCTGTTTTGGTTCAGTGCTGTTCAATGTATTTGTTAGTGATCTGGGAAAAAGTGTAAGATCAGTGCTGACAGAATTTGCAGGTATCACAGAAGCTTAACAGTAAAAAGAGAAGAAGTTGATGACAAAGGCTGATCAGGATGTGCTGTAGAATGCACTTATTTCTCTAGCATACGTTTTAGCACAGCCAACAGTGCTGTATGTCTAGGAGCAAAGTATTTAATTATGTAGATGGTATGAGACTGTATCACACAAAGCCAAAAGGCTGAAACAAGTTCCAGTTATTCTGGCAGACTTAAATGTGTGTTGCCATATACGCTGCTCACAAACACGACATGGAATGTGCTACCTGCACAGAGAAGCAGGGGCATATTAATTGAGGAGTTGTATCACATTTTCTAATAGATTAGCTGAAGGCTATATTGTAGTATTGTATTCCATTCTAGTATCTACAGTTCAGAAAGATGTTGAGAGATGTTGTAAGGTATCATCAGATGATTGAAGCATCTTTTGTATGAGGAAAGGCTGAGTGAGCTGGAACTGCATAGGCTGAAAAAGAGAAGGGTTGGAAATACCTGATAGGGAGGGATGCAGACTCTTTGCAGTGATTATCAGTGACAGAAGAAGAGACAGTTGGCAAAAACTGAAATGGACTTAATTCCATTGGAAAATAAGAAAACATGCTTTTACTGTAAACATGGCTGAACAATAACAGAAGGTTGCCCAGAGAGGCTGTCCAGTTGACATCCATGGAGATAGCCAAAACCTCATTGGACATTACTGAGCAGCCAGGTATAGCTGACTCTATTGGAACTGGGACTTGGGCTAGATGATCTGGAGAAGTTCCTGCCAACCTTAATGATTCTTTGAAATTGTGTGTTATTTTGAAGAGAAAGAAAAGAATGATTTGAAACTTGAAAGACTTCAGGTTTTGTGTGTGGATAGGGTTTTTTGTCTTTTTGTGTTTTCCTGGAGAATGTTAAACTCCATTTATTCTCTCTGAGAGAGAATTAAAAGATTAGTTGCTCAGCCTGCACATTCCCAGGTGGTAGAAAGGATTCTGTTAGATGATTGTGAGGGTGTGGTTGGAGAAAATCCTAGTTTTGGTCCCTGTTACAGTTCGTGATCCCAAGAGTGTAATTAAGATGCAAATGAGGTCAAGTACTGTAATCGATCAATTGGTTTATTGACAAAAGACAATTATTATAAAAGGGGAATTATTGTAATAAAGTGGATAGCAATAAGACAGATTGAAAAAAAGGTAGAAAATGAAGCAAGGATTTGAGGTGCAGAGGGAGAGAGAGAGTCACCAGCATGGACCCAGTGGTGTCCCAGGGATTCATTGTCAGATGTGGGAGTCCTTCAGCGTTCATCGTTGGTATCGGAGCAGCGTCCCCCAAGAGTCTGTAGTAGTTGTCTGAGGTGGGTTTCCTTGTGGAGGTGTCCTTCTGGAGTTGTCCCCTTGAAGGCACACCTGAAGGTCTCCTGATGGATTTGCCCTCATGGCGCATGGACAGTGTCCCTCCCGGTCTGCAGTAATCATTGGTGGAGAGTGCCCTCATGGAGGTGTCCTCCTGGGGACATCTTCATGGCAGAGACTCCCTGGTGATGTGCCTCTTGGTGATTACCTTTTCCCCCTTTTATAATGAGTTGGGGGGAGTACCTCTGTTCTTCATGTCTTGTATTACGGGTTTCTGGTGGACCAGTTTCCCTTGCAGCCAGCTCTTCAACTGCACAGATCTGCATCAATTCTTGGGAGAATGGGCAGTTCCTCACACCAATCCTGGAGGTCTTAGCTCTTTCCCACTCATCCCTCAGGCAACGGACAGTGGAAGAGTCTTACCTCAACTCCTTCCACCCATCTCTGAGACAAAAGATAGGTGCAATCCCATCTCAAGTTCTCATACCAATCTTTGAGACAATGGACAGTGGAGTCTGATTTCAATTCAGTCTCTCACAATGGTCCAGTGAATTTTGCTACCTGCAAATTTAAATTAGGTGAATTCAGACTATTAAATATCTACATCTTACTTAACAAAGAGAAATAACATTTGGGACAAGGCTTACCCAAGTATTTGTGGTAGGATTTCTGTCACATGAAATTTAAGTTTACACTGGCTCTTTCTCTTCTGTTCCATAGACCAAAGGGTGGAGATAATTTAGAGGATAGTCTTTAGTCTTATTTAGACAGGTTAAATAGACTGTTGTAGCCATAATGGTCTCTTATTGTCAGAAATCAGGGAACCTCTAAACAGGCTCCAAGATCTGAGAAGAATTGGTAAGCTAGAGGACAGGACAGTGCTTTTAATTCCTTGAGAATGGAGAGATGGATAGTTGTCATAAAATGCTGCTGTTCTTGCTGCTTTGAGTACAACAGTTGTGATGATAAATGCATAGGCAGTAGTCTCATTGCAGTTTACAGATCAGTTGGAACTAATCACA